ATATATATATATATATATATATATATATATATATATATATATATATATATATATTTCTCCCATCGATCTGGTTTTCCGTGAGAGTATCCGAATTTGAGACAAGCGGCACATAACACGAAGACTGTGAAATATTTTCAAACTTTTCTTCAGCAAAACTTCATACGTTTTCATTAATTTCTTTGCTATAATCGAGCGTAGCAAACGTTTAAAAATAGCACAAATACGGTTTTGATTAAAACCCTAAAGTTCCTTTCCAAAAGGGTGAAGCTTGAACTAGTCTATAAAACGTTTCAAAGGAAACAGATTGGTTGAAAATATTTTTGAAAAAATTTTGAAAATCTCTGGAATTCGTTTCATGGGATATACCTCCAAAACTTAGAAGATTGGTTTCAAGTTTGCAAAGCCTCGAATGAAGCTCCCGAAACTTTTCCAAAAATTTATCCAAAACGGATAATTGTTTTTTCTCTACATAGCTAAAATTTAACGGTTGCCTCTGAATTTTCGAAAATGTGACAAAGATAAATCACGACAATTAATAAAAATTATAAACTTTTGCTCAAAAATATATCGAAAGTATTTGTGAAATTATTTATGAAGAAAATCATTCGTAATATTCGATTCATTATTCTTTAATAGACAGTAAAATTTTTTGAAATTTTTAATTGAAAATATTAAATGAAATTTAAATTAATTTGAAATGATTATTATCGCCGATCAGACCTTAAAATAGATTTGTGGCGGCTGAATGGACGTTTCACATCTACTGACAATGAGGTAATAGAAGTGTTTCTGAAAAGAGTTATTTCTGTTGAACTTAAACGCTAAGGTTCCGATGTCTTTTCAAGAATGGATGTCTGACATTCTTTACACGCCTTTCGCGCCAGAATAATTTTCCAAAATATCTACGAATTTTTCTTCATTTCACTACCTTTTTTTCTCCTTGTGCTGTTTGTAGTTTCGGAAGTGCCATATACAACAGAAACGCTCGTAGCGAACATGTTCCGAGTCTCCAATTTTTTGTTATTGCGTGTGCCAAAAGAAACTGCGTTTAGTGATATGTACGTCAGGTCATTCTTTATGCTGGAATTAACCACCAAAGACGTGGCTTTTTCCAGATATATATATATATATATATATATATATATATATATATATATATAATTAACAATAAAACATAATTATATATATATATATATAATTATGTTTTAAACACGCTGCATGACAATAAAGGGAAAGGGCTACCAGAAGAATTGGTCCAAAATTATCTCTTCTTGGAATACATGCATGCGATTAATGTGTGAGTAAATGATTAGATTCACAAGTATCACCGATGTCACCTCCCTGTTGTTACGCAGTTGTTATGGAGACAGAGACAGACAACATCTTTGAGACAGAGAGTGAAGAACGACGTTTACTTACAGTAAGAAGCACCCGCGATGCCCCGCAGACGCGTTCGACAGCCTATCCACCAACTGACAGCATATGACAGACACCGCGTTGAGGGGGCTTCATGAGGCTGGTTGGTCGTGCAATTGCCGGGCATGGAGGCCATTCACACATCACAATGGCAGATGTTGGATTCAATGAGTATATGAGGGCACCCATGCACGTCGTTGAAGCTCAGGTCAACCAATAAACACAACTCCCAGGGACGAGCGTCATACGGTGCGCCAAGCTGCGCGGAATCTCATGACGAGCCACCCGCCATCCGCGAACATGTGCTTGCGACGCTACAACATCCTGTGAGTTCCCACACCGTGGCTCGACGACTCGCATCCTCCAGATTGGAGTCTCACTGCCCCATGCGTCGGTTGTTATTGACACCAGAACACTGACGACGGGGTTGGATAGATGCCGTGCCCGGGAGGCACGGGCAGCGCACGAATGACGTCATCTATTCAGTGATGAGTCCCACTTCGCCTTAATGGCCATCGTGTTGGAGTGTGAAGAGCAGAGGCACATCCTGCCCAAAATTTGCACAGGTGAATACCCGGGTATGATGGGGTGGGAAGCGACCAGATAAGCGTTCAAATCACCTCTAATAATGCTTCGGCAGACGAACTGAACAAAAGTAGAATCTGTACTTGCTGACTCCGACTTGCTGATCTTTTCTTGTAGAATCCGAGCTTGCTGAAATATTTGGTGTCTCTTTGTCGGATCCTCCCAACTGTACTTCAACCTTATCGTCAGCTCCAGGTTGTTAGTATTGTTAGCACCATCACATTCCACTATCTCTCGGATTCTCGTACACTGCACACTATTTATCTTATACAGGTGTCTTTAGAGTAATTGTAACAAATTTTTAGGAAATTTACAGGGATACAGAATGGTAAATTTTCGCCAATGAACATGTAGGAAATTCATATGAGAGAGTTCTAGAACGAAACGTTTTCTGCTGAACAACGGTGCATAAGGAATTGCCTAAAACTCAGGGGCAAATGCCACGTATCAACTGTATAGAACAACTCCATTTGCAATTTATCTGAATATACTCATTGGCAAAAGGTGATCATTTTTTAAGCTTATTAAATCCCTAGATGTTTCTATTATTTGTTCTGATATACTGTTAATGGCTACTCAGCACCAATGGTCCAAATGGAAACTTAAACGCCTATTTTACAAGTCGGGGAATGTTTAAGAAATGGGTTTGGTATGCGAAGTACTTACTGGCTGGGTTCTGTCATGTAGGCTTTCGGGTTGTTCTGGCACAATTTGTTCATGAAAGCATCATTCGAGTAACACCGTGTACCCGCAATAGATGAAGAATAGCTGATAGCATTGGCAAACAACATTAATGCTATGTTATGACTGCAGGCGAGACTGTAGTCCAATGCAGGAGATGTGTCGATATCTGTAAGCTAAAAAGAATTTTATTAAACCGGGGCGAAGTGAGACGAACATTAAATTTCAAGGACCTTTTTATAATTTAACAAGGTCTTTGGCAGCTTATCACTAAAATATAATTGACATCATGGCAAAGAGGAATGAGAAAGTATAGTCAAGCATAAGAAACAATGAGAATAGTTGATTCAATTACTAGGAGAATAAAAGTTGTGTTAGTTGCAAAGGCTACACAGTTATTTTTTAACAACAATCTTTTCTAATCAATTTAATATGCACGTAACACAAAAAATGTGTTTGCAAAGGCTTCAACAATAAAACATCTCGAAAGCATTATTTGCGCAACGTTTTTGTGAGTTACGCTCTACGATGAGAGAACCTAAGCGCTGCTCTGAAATGAATTGACTGCCGAGGTTATAAATTAACAGCAACGTAAGGTAAAGACATTAAAATATTCTATTGATCCTTAGTGACAAATTTTCGAAATTACACACATAATATTTTACGTAAGAAAGTATGTAAATCATTGCATTCATTTTACGAATGTTATGATTTAGAAAAAACATGTATGGTTACACTGAAAAGGACTTGAAATTTACACGGAAAAGGAAACTTGAAAAGGACAATTAATGTTGACTTTCACATCTTGTAACATAAGATTGAGTAAAGGACATTCGAAATTTATATAAATTATTTTCATTTTTTCATGCACTTCTTCAAACATTTGTTGCAAAATCTTTAAATGATAAAAATGTCATGTCTACAGGCGCTAACGTTACTTGACTCATCTACATACTTCTTAATTTTTTTTAGTATTTGGTTACTATACAGGAAATGTTCAATTTACAGAGTTTGCCGCTAAATTTTGATTTTCTTATTTTTACCTATAGCATCGCAATATACTTCATCTTTAAAACTATTACGTGAGAAGCGATGTTCAGCGTTTGAATCTATTTTGGCTGAAGGTGCAGCAACAAACAATTTCAGGAAAAATAATCGGATTACCTCAACGAATTTTAAATTACGGACAGAAAGCAGTGATCCTGCAAACATGTCATATAGTTCGCAAGTTCTTGAACACATGAGGCTCCCAAATCGGTCTTGGGGGTCAGAGTGAAATCTCTCTCTCCAGTGACCGAGTTCTTTCCTTAACGTGGCAGGAATTGGCAAATTGAACTCAGCACAAGCTGCTTAGAAATAATAATAATAATAATAATAATAATAATAATAATAATAATAATAATGCCCGGTCTGATGACTGAAATCGCTAAGCAGTAGTGCCGTAGGGGTTTCGAGTCCCGCCTCGAGCATGGGTGTATTTGTGTATGTTTGTATGAGTGTGTCGTCCTTTCACCCCTCATTATCATCATCATTTCATCTTCCATACCCTCAAGGCTAACAACGCTGGGCTAACAACGTAACAATAAAAATCAGACCTAGCTAAATGCTAGCACCCAATTAAAGTTACGTGCACCTGCCACCGCGATAATGATACTGAGCCACGGTAAATGCGTGGTCCAAGACGGCCGTTTCGCAAGCAAAAAACAAACACGGTTGTGTTGTGTGTGTGTGTCTGTATGTTGGTGTGTGTCTAATTCATCATCGTCATCATCATCATCAAAATTTCATTCCACCCCCGAAGGCTAACAACCCTGATATATAAAAGTGGAATCAGCATCAAAATGCTGATTCCCCCCATAGAAAAGTAACGTGCACCTACCCGGATAATCAAGTCTGAGCCCAGGTGGAGAGCTCGTATCACGTGATCCCTTGATTGACGATTTGCAACACAAAAACAAATAATAATAATATAATAATAATAATAATAATAATAATAATAATGTAATTATACTCAGAAAAAACAATTGGAATGAGTTAAATGGCTACAAAAGTGTTAATATTGGGCCGTTTATTAGTTACAAAGTTTCGTCATCTAACGACCATTAAATAAGAAATGTTGAAGTCTCCTGTAATCATTTCAGTCAACTCTCAACGTTCTTTCTCAGTACTTAGAAAGTATAAATTGTTGATGATGATGATGATGACAGTAATATTAATAGTGAGGAAAAGAAGAAGTGTCGGGTACTCACTCTTGGCCGCGGCGAGCGCGGGAGCCAGCAGCAGCAGCAGAAGCAGGGGGCGGAGGGACTGCATGGTGCGGCAGGTGGCCACACTCTGAGGCTGAAGGCACCGACGCTTGCGTCCACATCTCGTCTTCGCTCCGCCCTCCCTGCCCGCCTCGCCCTAGCCACGGCCGCTGGCCAAGCTGCTTGCGTAGCTCTCCGTCAGCTCTCGGCGCGTATCTTCGTCTTTCCACATTCGCACGGCGCGCCCCCCCCACCCCGGGAGTGGCCAATGTCAGCGAATATTTTGGAGCTATATCTTTGGCCGCGGTGGATAAGATTGATGAACTGACATTCTGCTGAAAATGAGATAATTATACTCCTGAATTCTCTGAAAAGTTTCTCAACATTTGTGGTAATTAGAAAAATTTAACTTATTCTTTTTGATGAAAAACAGACATGTGTATTATCGTACATCACGTAAATTGCTTAAATTCACAAACCCTGGCAAGATAAGTCAAGTTGTCTGGTTATTCACACTTAATTCAGATCACTGATCAAAATCAAATAAGTCGAGTTGTCTCTTTTTTCAGATTTCAGATCACTGATCAAAATCAAATAAGTCGAGTTGTCTCTTTTTTCAAGCTGGAAGATTAGTTGAAATAATCACAGGATAGAAATATATTAGTATATTTATCAGCTTCTTCACGTAAATATTTTTGTTTAAGAGCTCATGGCTAACCCACACATGCTTAACATGACCAAATCAAGTTTGAAATCTTCCTGGAGTGTGTTTATCTGTGTGGATATTTTAACCTTTTGACACAAAGGGGCCAACAGTGAGAAGCGATACATAGTGTTAGGAGATGGGTATATATTACGACCTAGAGAAAGGGAATTCCCGAGAGATACAATTCTGCGAATTGATTAGACAAGAATGAAAATGCCGATCATGACACCGGAAAACGAAGATATCCTTTGGTGTATTACTGCAGATCTGACACTCAGAGACCACGTTCTTACGAAAATATGCAATTGTAGGGTCAAAGTATGCGGCTCTTTCAAATGTCGGGCCATAGGCAGCTTTTAATGTCATTTAAAGGAAATTAACTTCCTCTACGAATTCATATGAACTCGCATGACTGCGATCGTGTTGACTCGAGGAAATACTATGGTTACTGAGGCTTCCGTGAACCAGTGGCAGCGGCTACCTCAACAAACTGGTCAGCAAGAACAAAGCTTCACCGAATGACGGAAATATGATTTCCCAAATTCAGAACACTATAATAAACGTAGATGATTCATGAAAATAAGTTAAAATCACGTTGAATAAAAGTCTTTATTGAAACTTTCATAATTATTTGGGTATACTTTTATAATTTTACATGTAGTGTCCGAACCAGTATTCACTTCGCGGTTCTGGCTTGTTCACGAGATTCTGGCTTCGTAACCCAACGGGTATTAGGGTTTTTGTATTAGTTAAGCATTGAAGGAATTGACGGTAATAGAATTCATGCTAAACGGAAAGGACTTGGTTCAAAAAATACGGTGATTGCCCCCCTGCCCTTTGCAACAAGTGCAATTGTTTGGATAGTTCTTCAAAAAGAAAATTATATTACTATGAAAATTTCACTACCCTGTTAAATATCGTAATAATGAAAGTTTTTCCACAAACTCGTATGCACAAGGTGCTTACACCGTCAGAGACAAAAAGAGTTTTTCTTCCAGAACGGCCAAGTTTACAAAAAGGGCTCTTTAAGTTTACATTTTGAATCAACGAAATTCAAATGAAATAAACAATTCATACAGAACCGTACATAATTGACTGATCTTGCGTTCTTTTAACAACAGATGAACTTCACTAAAAAATTAAGTAGCAGCTAGTGTCAGACGAAGACAAAAAAATGGTACTCTCTTTGAACGCCGCGACTCGGTAGGCACCTGAACCCTCCCCCCCCCAGTCCACACCCATAAGAAGTGTGGTTGTCGCACCAAGGCCGTATATTGCAGCATATATTGAAAGATTAAATGCAGTAATAGATCCAAAAGCATGATACGGTGCTGCCGTGGGAGAGCACCCTGTCACGCTTTTGATGTTGAACTTTTGCCATTAATACTCGTAGTTCCAGTTTTCATGCCTTTTACAAAAAACTGTCTACAGCAAACATTCAATGTGTAGATCCACATTTTGAGGAAATTGATCCTGATGAACAATACCAGTGTTCTAAGGGAGATCACTTTTATGTGATAAATAAATAGATCATGAAAAATACTTATCGCGCACGTGGGTGGCGACAGAAGTTAACTGCAGGGTTGCTTTCCGGTATAGGGGAATCTAAATTGGCGCTTAGAGTTTGCGAAACACCACAAAGCTGCGATGAAAAAAATGGATATTTATCAATAACACTATCTATGACTATTTAAGCTCTTGACGCCAAAACTGAAAATAAATTATTTGTTTCTAACGTGTTGTGTATATTTTTACCTGAAATGACATATTCTGTGAATCATCTGACATATATATTTCTTGCAGAAATTATTAAAGAAAAAAGGTTTTAGATGAAAAGAAACCCGATAGTTTCACAGATAAATTTATTTATTATCCAGATTTTTAAAACAAAACAAGACACGTATTTAGTACACTTAGTAAGAACACAACAGATGTTCTGAAAGGAGTTCTGTGGGGACCGAAGTCACAACTTTCTTTAGATTTCAATGCCATTGTGTAGCGCACGTGTGCGGTGTTCAGATGTTCAGGCCCCTTCCTCTCCTAGGCCATAAGGCTCTGAATCTTTGGTGATGAAGTAGAAAACACCTTCGTGCCTGAAAGGAAAAACACGTTAAATCATCACTGGCATTACAATAATATTTTGAAGAAATGTAAGAAGGGCTTAGTGCATCTTCAGGAGTGCTTTTGTACGACTACACCCGGCTTGGTGTTCCTCAA